TCTATCCATCTATCCATCTATCCATCTATCCATCTATCCATCTATCCATCTATCCATCCACTCATTATTCATTCGTTCGGCATATATCCACCCACCGAGTTCTTTAATAAGAATCAACTCTGATTATTATTATGAAGCCAGTTGGCCTTGGTATCATGGCTTCAGTAATATCAGCTGTTTCAATTCCCAATATTGGTAAAACTACATACAGGAAACGACCCGTTTTCTGTAACCAACGTTGGATACGTAGTTTACTAGAGACAAATGTTATCAAGGAATTAATAAAATAGTAAATGATAACAATAATGCATGATTTTAAAGCCGCCTATCCTGAGGAACTGCTCTAAGCGCTATAAACAACAACAATGATAGATACATACGATGGTATTGAATATATATTTTAGATGATAACGATGGTAATTAACAAAAGAAGACAGATTTGAACAGCAGATTTGAATGAACTTAACGAAGAATAAAGTGCGTATTGAGGAAGGGAGTGAATTCTATAGTTTTAGAGTAGAAAAAGCAAAACAACGTCTACCATAGGATTTCACGTCACGCGCGGTAATTAGCATTCTTAAGTAACAGATCGTTAGACGAACAAAGACGTCTTGACAGTATATTAATTCAGGAAGGTAAGAGGAGCTTGATTATTCAGAGACTTGAAAGTGAAAAGCAAAATCTTGAACTTAATCCTTTCAGCAGCAGGAAACCAATGAAGATCAATCAGGAGTGGAGTAATGTGGTCATATTTATGCGAAAGTGTTCTCTTAAAGTGGTGTGCCAACAAGAAACTATCCTACAAAGTAGAAATAATTTGATACCGCTATAGTAAGTAGCCTGAGGAAACGAGAAACGTCTGCGCATGCTGGAATTAAGTCCTTGCAAAATAAGCCTTCAAAAATAAGCTATGAAAAAAATGACTTCTTTCAATTTCAAAAATTGACTTTCATGTTTTAAATGGACTTCACAAAATGCCAAAACTTAAATGTGCTGGAAACTTAAGGTTAATTCTTTAAGTCTTTAACTAATGCAGTATCTTGGTCTCCCCTGAACCAGACGCATGCGCAAACGTTTTGCTCTAGTATCAACATGATTTAAGTAAAATATGCTTGCGCATACTTGAAATGGCGGCCATGTATGAAATTATTATTTCACTTTTTTTAACAATATATGTGCTGGAGCTGATTATTTTATCAAACAAAAGAGATTCTATTTTTTCATATAATTAATCAATAGTGATACAATATATTTATTGCTGTTCACTGGCTGCAGACAACATTATCAGTAGTAGATAAAGGAAGACTCTATTTGTTATATCCTCCCTAATCGATTTTAGCTGTATTGATTTCAGTCTTTACAAAATCCTTTGCACAACGTGAAATAGAGCCTCAGGAAATGAATAAATTTTGAATACTCGCGAACTATAAGTTAACTAGAATAGTTTAATGACTGATTTTCAATCAATACATATAGAAGCCACTGCTGCTAAATAGTCTAAGCTTTGTTGACTAGCAATTATTATGCGATGTTGCATTGATTTGTTTAAAGAACATTTCAGTAAGATTTGGTGATCAACTCGCTTTGACATCCTGCATGAATTTTGATTGATTAGAATACACGGAAGATATAGTCGCTTTATCAGAAAGTACATCGCCATCCAATTACAATCATTGACCCTACTCAGCTTCGCATGTATAGGCAGTGGACAAGGCTTTCCTATTGCACACAGGAATTGGTAGGCCAATATTGTTTAATTAGTACTAGGTACACCTTTCATGTAACATGAACAGTTTTCCAATCTTTCCAATCACAATTTATGAAAATATTTTTCATAAAAAAGAAAAGGGAAGAAAAATATTTCCACTCTCTTATCATCTCCATGACATTCTAACTACACAGTTACATAGTTGCATAAATGGTAAAATAATATGACTTTCGCAATAATTGAGACACCAGTCGAAGCCTGTCGGTTTCTGGCATTATATAAAATGTAATTAATCCTGTAACGATCCGCCTGAAAAAGAACTCGGATCTTAAGGTTATCCCTATGAGGTGCCCCTTCTAAATTAATATAATAATTGGCCAGAAAAAATGAAATGTTAATAGATAAATATGAAAGTTTCAGAAATTTCTTTGTCCGCATCAAACTTAGAAAACAATCGGTAGAAAGGCTGTCTACGTTTTTGGGGGAGGGGGAATGGGGGTGGTGGAGTCAGGGTCTAACCTATATCTCTTGTGTTTCGAAGCAAAAATAATTTACCTAGTTTTGATATTTTTGTTTAACTCAACTGAGGCTCGGTATCAGTGACTGAAACCACACCGTTCATGCAGTTTGCATTGATTTTTCTCTTCTGGGATTTTAAGAACTGATTAACTAATACCCCACAAGAAGTACGAATAAAACCGGTATTGGAATTATGGCTCAGACGAGATAGAGTAATAAATGAATGAAGCTGAGATTCTTGGAAAGCGAAAGTTTTATTGTCAAGTGGTCATAGCAAGAAGAGTGACAGATTGCTGCTTCTAGACTATTCTAACAAAAAAAAGACTTCCTCTTCAATACAAGCCCTTCTAACCTAAACCACAAATTTTGACAATATATATTAGAATGTCAACCACAGCCAGTGAGCGCATGTTGTATAGAAAACGACGTAAAAAGGTATATTATATTTCAAGTTTCTAACTCTAGTAAACTATGGTAATGCCCTCAGTTTCCTGATTCGGTCGTCATTCTACTTTTGAACGTTTGCCTTGGCTGACTATTGCATGAGTCATTTCGTTACTCGAAATAATCTTAATTGTTTTCTCTTGGTGGTCGACGTCAAAAGCACTGTTCAGCGAACCTTTAATATTCATGTTTTCTGATTAAAATAGGAATTGGGTGGTAATTCTAACATTAATCAGATGAGTTGAACAAAATGTAAATTTATGATAGCTTTTTGTTTATATTCCTGTACGACACATATATAGTATTGCACTAATCCGAATATCACAGCTAATTTAAAAACTGAGCCCGCATTCCGACTTAGTTTATAGGTAATGATTAATAAAAGTAGCGACTTCGTATTGGCTAAGACTGGTTTTACTTCACAGTTTGTGATTAAATAGATAGCGGGCCGATAGAGGTTGTAGTGCATCGTATTTCCGATAATTTCAGGTGGTGACTAGTTTTGACTGCGCTGGTTTAATTGTTGAAAACAGCAAGTTAATAAGAAGGAAACTTTTTTTGCGCTTAATACACTATGTACAAACTTTGGAGCCGTACTGCATAATGTCTCTGACGTTAGGCTTAGTAAAAGACTCAGATCTTCATTTTATAGTTTTCTTTTGTTTCACTTGTCTCAGTATTGCACATTAACATGTTATTTTGGTCGTGCGGGTTAAGTGACACTACTAAAAGGTCTGGCTAAGTAATGTCTAACTTTGTGGTTTCAAGGTTTACTGTTTTATTCAACTGTTCGGAAACTAGTGATTCATATTTTTGTCGTGCCATTATTCTACCTTTGCACCACCAGTTTCGCATGTAAGTTCAAAATGGTAATGAAAAACCGCGTCGCAATAAACAAATTGATATGGATAACACGTTTTCACAATGTCCATACAATTAATTTCATTTTAGGGCTATCCAGCAAGTAGCGTATGTATTGTAACGTAGGAATGATTTAAAAAATGGGACATCGTGTACTACCCAGTATTGTAGCTATCACATTGTTACTTATTGTATGGCAGTGGGAGAGCATCCTCGCAAATGGTGGGTACAGTCTTGGAAACTATAAAAAATACTTTTAGTTTATCATTGTTAACTTAAACATCAAACCTTTCAAACATGACGCAAAACAGTGCAAGTGATTACTCAATATTTGATGTTTTCGTACCGAGACTTATTTTAGTTCGCACAAACTAGCTGTAGGTTTAATAAACAATTATCAAAGGGAAGGCGGGATGGATCATTAGGTAATTGTTGGGGGCCTGCAGAAATTTATGTTCCACGATATTCATTTTTTTGTAACAACCCCTGCACCATTTTGTGTGTGTGTGTGTGTGTTTGCTCGAAATTTCTTTACTGTAAGGAGAGGTTGCGCGATGATTTTTTCGTAAGTAAATTGCTTGTCGATATTTTTTGGCGTTTATGCAACCCCCATCCCCCTACTTAATTATCTTATGGTCCGTCCCTAAAGGAGACATTTTTTGAACATTTTGAATAACTGTTTTTAAAAATATTATCAATATTGTTTCTATTTTATAGAAACTGGCGATTGCTCCTGCTATTCATTCCACGCAACTCCAAACAATTGGAAAGATAGCAATAAAATTTGCCAACAGAATGGCGGGAATTTGGTATCCATGGAAACAGAAGAGGAGTATCAGTTAATCAATGAGGCAATACAAAGTCTAGATGTAGGAAAAAACGAGTGGTTTATTGGTTTGAGGAGAATATCAAGAACTGACTACTGGAAGTGGATTAGTGGGCATGACATGACCATTGATAAATGGAGGGCAACTCGAACAAGTGGAACAGGAGATTGTGTTAAAATGATAAAACACTATAAAGGACGGGGATTATTCGACGACGTTACATGCGACCCACGATACAAATACACGTTCATATGTGAATACAAACAAGGTAACTCCCATAGTTACCAACTTATATCTTTTCGTGTCTGTGTGTTTGATCATTTCTTTTAGTTATTTGCTAAAGCCATGTATTTGCTTGCAGGTTTGCAAATGCATAAATCCTAAACAGAAACTAAAATTTTGTTCTTATTATATTCCGTTATACCTAGATCGATCATATTATAAGCTATTATACATAGATTATAATGGCGGTCTAATCGCCGCCCGCTCTTCTAGATAATATTATACTTCATCCAGAAAGGTACTTCCTTATTAATCTTATATATTTCACATTGCAGCTCAAAAGTGTTCTAATATTACGTCTACAATCATTGAAAAAAGGTGTTTTTCAAAGAGAAAACAGGTAACCACGAAAGAGAACACAATGACGC